TCTTCCTTCCAAGGAGTGGCTGGTGGGTTTGAACTGCCAGCCTTCTGGTTAGCAGTCAGATGCCTTAGGCACTATGCCACCAGAGCACAGAAAAGTTAAATGACTTGCTCAACTCCTCATAAGTGCCAGAAGTGGGACAAGAGCATAGCTAGCTAAATCCTTATCCCAGGACTATTTCTAATACACCGTGTACTCACCTCAATCATACACATAGATAAAAAACAAAAAAACCAAACTCTCTGTCATTGAGTTGATTCCAACTCATAGTGACCCCCATTGGGTTTCCAAGATGGTAAATCTTTACGGAAGTAGATGCCACACAGATAGTGAATAGTATATTTCACAAGGAAGAGCATTAGAGCACCAGGAAATTCTAGGAAGGAGATTAAATGTGTTTCTGCTTGAGAACAGGTAGATGGACTAGATACTATGTGGCTTTGCTACAGCACTTTGCAGCTTACAAATGTGGGTCCCTTTTGATCCTTCAGTAGAAAAACTAAGTAACTGAACCTACCAGAGCAATAGGAAGTGTCAGCATCAAAAACCAAACACAGATTCTAGGATGTCCTCCCCCATCCCAGATGCTTGTCTCTCAGAGAATCCCAGCCTGTGAGTTACGGAGCTAGTATGTTGTAAATGGGTTACAGGTGTGACCCTTGTGGTAGACAAATGGAGCCTAAGGCAGCCTGAACAACATCCATCCCCATCCACACGTACCTACAACAGTCAGGATCCTTATATATCTATATATCCAAATGTGCAATAAAGTGTATTCCTCTGTGTTCCAAAAAGTGACAATGATGAAAAAGCAAAATCTAGGTGATTTCTCAGGATTAAGTGTGGTGTGACTCTACAGTACTCACCGCCATCGAGTTGGGTCCGACTCATAGCAACCGCTCTTTGGGTTTCCAAGGCAGTATCACTACTGCCTCGGAAACCCAAGGAGGGGTCGCTATGAGTCGGGGCCGACTCGATGGCACATAACAACAACAACAACAACAACAACATCACTACAGAAGTAGATTGCCCAACTTTCCTTCTGAAGAGTGGCTGGTGGGTTTGAACCGCCAGCCTTCTGGAGGAACATTAAAAATGATAGGAGCAAGATGTAGGAGGAAGAGAGAAAATGACATTCACAAAGTGAACAAGAAAAGGGAGGCAACAAGGCCCTTAGTGTGAGTGGACATGAGGATCTGGTTTGGTTCCCAGGTGGTATTTAATCTTGTAAGGAAGGGGTTTGTTTGACACACCACCATAAATGATGTGTACTGGATACCTGTGTCAAATACATTTTTGATGTCTCCAGAAGATCTCACAGTGATGCCCCATTTCTTCTCTGACTTTATGATTGCACCTCTCTCAAGCCTAACTACAAGATGCATGCAAGACTGTCCCTCTGGCTCTTAAATTTGTACAGCAGGCCAGAAGTGGCTGAGAATTAGCAACCCCCTGAAAGCAGCCCTTACCCCAGTGACTGACAGATTCTGTGTATAAACACCCAGCTCCCTTGCCCCTCTGGTCAGATTAATCTGATGTGCACATTCTCACTGACTCCTCAACTCCCCAGTGGGATTAAAGTCAAGCGGCCCATAATGATGATTTGTTTGATAACACACCCTTCCCTTCACTGACCGTCTTCCCTTCCCTGTCTCACTTCCCCCTCCCCTTCTGATGTTTATTAAAAAATCCTCCCAAATAATCTGTTCCTCCTGCTGCTGTTGTTAGCTGCCACTGAGTTGGTCCCCACTCATGGCAGCCCCCATCTGCATGATCAGTTTCAGATCGGACCATTGTGATCCATAGGGTTTTCACTGGCTGATTATCAGAAGTAGATTTCCAGGTCTTTCCTGGTTCATCTTAGTTTGGAAGCTCTGCAGGAACTATTCAACATCATGGACACATGAGTCTCCATTAACAGATGGGTGGTGGCTATGCCTGAGGTGTACTGGTTAGAATCAAACTCAGATCTCCCCTTGGAAGATGAGAATTCTAGCACTGAACCATTGCTGCCCCACCCCTACCCTGCACAAGGTAATTGTTTTTCTTATGTTATGATTCTGAGTCTTCTCCTAACAAAAAAAATTAAAAGTATATTCCCTTATCTAGGAGCTCTCGTGACATAGTGCCTAAGGCATTTGACTGCAAACCAGAAGGCTGGCAGTTCAAACCCACCAGCTCCTTGGAAGGAAGATTGGGCAATCTTCTTCTATAGTGACACCACCTCAGAAACCCAAAGAAGGGTCGCTATGAGTTGAATCTGACTCGATGACAGCAGTGAGTTTTA